TAATATAGGAAAGTGTATAAACGTGTGACACCTATTCATTATGGAACAATGTGTTCTTAGACGACAAGATCTTAATTAATCAATCATTATTCATTGAAATTATGTATATTTATTTGTTGTTAGGACAAATACACATTTATTCTATTCAATTATACATCTATTATGTACATTTATTAATGTAATAATTAACAAATAAATGATGATAGGATAAATAAGAAGTTTCATATAGATTTGATTGAATAGTTTCATAGTATTTAAGTATCGAGTTGATGTGAAACACTAATTAAAAAGGAAGAATATATTAGTAAAGTCTCAGTGAATGAATCTGAAGTAAACCCAACGTTTCGTCTAGCAATCTGATTCAAGTTTTTTCAAGGAAATATAATTAAACATTAAAGTTATCAAATAAAAATAGGTACACTAATTCTTTGGTTCATTGTATATTAAATAGGTCATCCAATCAACATTAACGATGTTTAATAAAGTTGATTAGATGACATATTTAGTATTCAGTGAACTAGAAAAATAAATGAAAGTGGATAGGATACTCATTGAGGAAAGCATCCAACTGCGTTACAAGGCGAAATCTCATTTGGAATCTTCAAGGCCAAAGGAGGAGAGGAAGAACACAGAACACATTATGCCGAGAAATGGAGACAGACATGAGAAAAATGAACAAAAATTGGATAGAAGTAAAAGGTAAGGCCCAGGTTAGAGTGAGCTGGAGAATGCTAGTCTTCGGCTTATGGTCCACTGGGAGTAAAATGCATAAGTAAGTAAGAACCAGAGAATGAACTCCATCTGGAGCCCTTCTCAGACTACTGCCGGTCTTAATCCCGGATATAGGAGGAGGATTGGGCAGGGGGTTAGTGACCCCATCCCGTAGAAAACTAACGCACTAAAAAACGTAAACCAGAACCAGAGAATCGTGTACTTATTTTTATTCGATAATTTTGATGTTTGATTATATTCCCTTAAAAAAGCTTGGATCAGATTGCCAGACGAAACGTTGAATTTACTTCAGATTCATTCACTGAGATTTTACTAATGTATTATTCCTCTTCATTGATTTTTGGTTAACTAATGTGATTAGAATAAATTCATGGTTTCATTTGAAGTACCTATAATACATTTTTTGAGAAGAGTAACTTAATTTAACTGAACTCTGTAAAAGTACAATTTCACGCATAGTTATATTAAGCCACTTTATGAAGTTTTTAGAAGTAAAAAGCACAAGTTTCAATAGTACAAAGGAAACTTGTATTGATTTAATTCGGTTATTTATTTACTCTGAAGAAGTGACATACACCAAGTCACGAAACGTCAGAAATACAATTTTTTCTACTCAGTGAGCTATAACAAAAAATATATATTTATTGTTAACTCACTACCCAATGCTCAATTTATTTGAAGTTATCAAATTCAACCTTGGCATTGATACCTAAGAACTATCACTAATTTAATATAGTTCCAACAAATTGAAATTATGTGAAGTAATTAGTCCCTTTTATAAATTTCGATAGAACAATATGAAGATGGAGTTGATTTGAAATAATGTAATGTATTTGCGCTATATATTCCAAACAGTTTGGTCACATATATACTTGTCAAGGCATGTTATATGAAAATTAATAAAGGTCAATTAAATGAAATTTCAAGTATATAAAGAATAAGAAATTGTCGCATTACGCTAGACCATAAAATAACTTAAGGGTTATCAGGGTAAATTCAAGATTACGACAAATTGTTTTTGTAAACAAGAGGGTTTAAATTTACGAACAGTCAAGGCTACTATAAAACTGAGAATTCGATCTGTACAATTTCTATACAACATTTTAAATGTTGTATGGATGTCAATTCTGTGCCCCGTTTCACATATGTGTTTTGCTATCGCTGAGTATGGTGTTTTACTTCTCACGTTGATCGGGTCAGTTGACATTAGCTGCTTTTGAAGCCATCTAGGCACATATTCCATGACCCTTGCTTGAGTTGTTCGATTACTCCCCCTATTTATGTGTGTCTTCACAAACATGCAAATTTTTAAATACATTGTGGTATGACGTAGTCGTTTGTGTATTGTCTAGGTTTATTTGGAATCATGGGCTTAGTCTTATTATTCACAACCAGTTTAGTAGCATAATATGTTTTCTCGATGGCTGCTTTCAATCTCTGTCTCATAACCATACTGTTAGACTCGCCTCTATATGACAGATAGATATAAACTTTTTTCTTCGGAACCGATTAAACGAGATGTCTTAATCTTGAGTGACTTTAGAACCTATTTATAAACTTTAGCGGATAACCATTTGATATCAGTGTGTCAATCATCAGCTTTTCATCTACCTCAACAGTATCAGTGGCTCATATTCTTTGAATCCTATTAAAGAGGCACTTAACCAATCCTCGCTTGTATTACAATGGACAAAAACTATGGACATTTAAATATTATCCCATCCAAGTTTGTTTCTTTTAAACTGACTGTCTCATAGTACAATCCTCCCTTCAACTCAAAAACGTGTCTAAAAAGGGCAATTGCTCATTATTTTCTGCATCAGCGGTCATTATGTTATCATTCTGTACCCCATTGAGTTTATCTAATAACTGGGAAACCTCAAAGTAATACGTCATCCATGAATATTCGGTAAAAAGTTGCCTCGCCAATCAGCTCTATCGTCATAAATAAATCAGCTAAGAGTGACCTTGAAGGGCTACCCATAGCAACACCATCAACTTGTCGAAAATATTCACGTTCAAACCTAGACTGAACATTTGTAGTTCATAACAAATTATTTGAAGAATAATATATAACATCAAGTAATTTTAAAATATCTTCTCAGTTTTGACCTTAATCTTCCTTTTAGAATTAAATTGTTAACTACAAAGTTGCATAGTGATCATATCATCTTTATTTTTACGAAAATTTAGTGAAACTGTTCATTTGATCCATTTGTAGTTAGAATACCTTGTTGTTTGAAAGTGTATGGCTTTGTTCATCACGGTATCTCAGTGTATAATTATTCAGCACTCTGATGGTAGTCATCATTTATGGAAAATAAATGTAATAAATCAAAGTATTATAAAGGACTAGTAATTTACTGTTTCTGGATAAATATAAATATATTTGGGTCTTAAATTCACTTAGTATTGTCTACCTGAAACTTCCCACTGATGTTTAGGACTACAGAGGATCAGTCTCTTATTGGCATATATGCCTACTGGGTGGACTGGCTCGCTATTGCCTTAATTCACAAGCATTCTAAGCAAAGATGGGTAGTGGCTAACAGTGGAATCCAGGACGTGCGTCTCGTCCCATTTGGGACTCGTCAACTGAATGTACCTGGATTTCAGAGTTAATGTTCACTCTGGGACTCAAACTTAGTGCCGTTCTCTTCAAACGCCATCACGTTATCCACAAGCAAGTTGCTATCAGGACTCAGTTGCCTGGTGAATAACATTTAAAATGAACGGTACTGGATTCGAGTCTCAGAGTGGGCATCAACTCTGAGATACAGGTACATCCAAATGCTGAGTCCTAAATGGGAAATGCACGTCCTGGATTCCACTGTTAGCCACTATCCATCTTTGTATATAATATTTGAGTTTTGTTTTGTAAGATAATAAACGAATAAACTATTTTAATCTCTTTGTTTGAGTTTTAAAGTATTTAACTTTACTATAAACTTTCAACCATTAGACAGTATGTTTAAAAACCGTTTACTAGTTAGTTTTAATTAGCTGGATAGTAATATCAGATCAGCCTCAAAGAAAATCACTCAAATATGAATATATAAACTTATACATGGTCAGACTCTGTTTATTTTGTGACAGTATGTAATCAGACAATGAAGTTAGAAGACATGAATATAAATGAAAATTAGATAACCCAGGGGTTGTGAGAGTTTGGTGCTCATTCAATTATCTGCTTATAAAACATAGTTTGTTAATGAAGATATATTTAAAATAGAAAAATATATTACAGTATTTCTACAGATCTAGGTATTTAAGTAGTCTGGTAATTGTAATAATAAAAGCAAAACAAAATTAAGACTAAGTCATGTATATAATGTATTAAGCAATAGAATAATAGAAAGACCAAGCTGATTGGCTTTTTGTTAAGGCTGTCTTGATAAAGAATACACATTCATTCTCTTATTTAATCTTCTTTCATTGGAATTATAGGATTTTTCTTTGTGAACAATGAAAATGAAATAAGAAAGATTGGATCAATGAAGAGTTCTCTTTTCGGATTTTGGATATTTGTGTTTGTTAATACAATCCTTAAGAAAGATGACATTCGCATTCACTTCAGTAAGTTTGACAGAATAACCAATCTTTTTTTTAAAAAAAATTTAATGTTTTAATGGGTGTATTCCGTTTACTAAAATAAAAATTTCAAGGACCCTTCGACAGTAAAGGTACTTAATGGGTCTCTGTATTATTCTATGAAACTTGGTAAAGTGAATATGATTGTTATCTTTCTTAAGGATTGGATTAATATGAACAAATATCCAAAATCCAAGGAATCAATCGTTCTAATTTAATGTCTTAATCGGTGTATTTCATTTACTGTTCTTATATAATGTTTAATGAAGTACATGTATAAATTTACATTTCTTTACATCAATTATTCAGTCATAATTATTTGTCAACAATATTGTTTGAAAGAAATAAACAAACCCATATTCATACATGTTTTAATCGAACTATACAATTCTAATCTCATTCTAATGAACACATGATCATTAACACATAGATGGATAGAGAGAGAGAGAGATGGAGAGAGCGAGATAGTGAGAGAAATGATTACATTATAAACAGTTTGCACATTATCAAGTTGATAGTTGAAGTGAACAGTTGAATCCTTAAAGTTATCTGCACATATATCATGTATGTGTACATATTGTGTTATATGACCTATGTTTTGAATAAAATGACCAATAGTAATAACATATATGATGTATGAAAATAGATTATTAACACTAAGGGATTATATTTATATAAATTAATAATTTTCTAAAAAAAAAGTTACTTTCCGTGACGTAATTAACATTAGTGATTGTACGTTTTCTAATAATTTATAAAGATTTTATTCTTTGTTACTAATGGTAATAAGTGTTATATGTTGCTGAAGTTTTATTCTCTAAGTAGGAATGGTTTGATTGTGGAGCTTTCAGATAGAAGTCCTAAAATTTTGTACTGATGATATCGTTCAGAAGAACGATGAAAGCTCCACAATTAATCCATTCAGCTCAGAGGAAAAAACTCCCGTAAATTTTTTATTTATTTATTTTAACACAAAGATATTGATACAAGAAGGCACCAAATACATATACGCCACACAAATCTCATTCGATATGTGTGAGGGATGTGATACTGCCCTGGTGCCCAGATCGAAGCAGGTAGTTATCTTAAGGGACCACTCCCCGAGCCTTCGACCTGAAGGTCTGATCCACAAGGCAGTGAAGTATCGTAAGGAGATGTAGTCCCATGATAGCCGGTGACCAACGATTGGTTCGTACGCCATTTGTTCCCTCAGGATACTGGAGCCCATGTGCACCATTGATTTGGAATCCGGTTAAAGCGCAGGACATTCGCTTTTCGTCCTCCCGTTTTCTTAGACAACACCCCTGCCACGAGTAGGCAGTGAGTAGGACTTCCCTGGTAGAGGCTGTATATGCGTGGCCGTGTGAGAATATTTCGAGAAGGAGGGCGAACCCACCCCGCTCTCGGCTGTACCAGGGCATTTGGGGGCACTCTCGCAAACTTAGGTAAATGACTCCCGCAAAATCATTTACCTAAGCTACAAATTTCCACCATTTCAAAATCATATAAGTATTATATGTAAAATCTGCTCACGGTTTATATTACATACTGACTATAAATATCAAAAGATTACAAAGAAAATTCTAACACAGTGGACTCACTGTAGTAATGGTAACTCTTCTTGGTGGAAATTATCTTCAAAAACTTTCTGTTGTTATTTCAGTAAAAGCTTTTTGTTAGTAAATATCTATATAGTTAACATTACGAATTAATCTGAGTGGAATAGGCATTATTTTAATAAGGCTAGTTAGTGACGTTAACTATAGAATTCGATGATCTCCAGTGAACATTTGTATAGTAGTACATATTTTTGTTTGCTAATTCAAAATTCAATAAGAAAGTGCTTTTTATTCTTTTCTTTAGAATATTGAAGGTTAATCAGAAATAGTCAGAAATATAAACGCAAGTGAATCTCCTAGAAAACTTATGATGACAGAAATAGGGAATAAAGGAAAAGCGGAAATATTTACTTATGAGAATCATGACGATTCAACAGATTGTTCTGAAGACCCAGATAGTCAACAAGAGGTGAGTTAATGAAATGTAGTTTTTAAAACTGGAGTGTTTTTAAGTACTTCTTTGTCAATCATAGTCAATCATTGTAATTTCAAATGAGATGATAGTCATTGAATATTTTTATCATATGTGTATTGACATTACTGTCTGACGTAATCATACAAAGGTTGTTGAATAATCTCATGTTACCATAAATATTAAATAAGGTAAATATCATTTTATACAACATATAATGGCGAGAACATTAAGTAAGTAGATCTATGTAATAAAATTACTGAGAATCTATCAAGTTCTACACAAATAGTACAATGAATAGTCCGATTATATTAGTAGGAACCCAGTCTTTCTACCTATGGTTTTTCTAAAAACCCATTTGTTCATCAGCTACCATGTATAGCTAAGTACTGTGAGTAAGTTTTTAGTATACTTTCCTCACAGACCAAAAACCATTTAGACTAATAAATCGTTAACTATAAATGTGGTATTATTGTTATTATTGTTTTTAACATAGAAACAATTGTTATCAGAATGAGAGGTCGTGAATGCACATTGCTGAAGAGTCCAATACTAGGACGAAAGGGTTGTTCAGTGCTTCCAAGTTTTCAATAGTAATCTAGCTTAAATCAACTCATGAACTCAGCTATAGTAACAATTGTCAAGAGCATTATCAGTATAGGGGTTGTGGAGATTGTTAAGCTTTTTAATTGAGATCATGAACCGATTGATGTTAGATCACCATTGAAAACCTGGAATCACTGGACGGCCGTATCGTCCTATTATTAATTTAATTATTAATAAGAATAAAATATTTTATAATTTTCCAATTTCGGTCATCTATAGTGTTGAAGTATGTTGGTAGATTATTAGTCAATATCGTGGCACATTTATGACACATGTATCAGAAAATTGTTATTTACTTACTTGCGTCTTTCTAGGTCGTCTAGATTCATCCTAGCTGTCCACTGTTTCTCGTGTTTCCCCCCAGATGTTGACATCTTCATGATCAGAAAATCGTACCTGGATATTTTGATGGTTCTAATGTAATGACTTAAATACTGTATTACTAGAATGTTATTTGTTTATTTATTTATCAATTTTCATGATAATTTGAAAATGACTTTTTATAATTAAATAGCCGAATTTCGGTTTATTATTCGATATTGACGGAGTACTTGGTCGTGGATTAGAAGTTTTGCCTCAAGCAGCCGAAGCATTCAAATTATTATGTGATCCTGATAAAAAAGAATTACGTGTTCCAGTTGCGTTAGTAACTAATGGATCTGGAGATGCTGCAACAAAAGTACAAATGGTTTCTAAATGGTTTGGCATAAATGTAAGTCATGATGTTGTTGGTTTTTTTCTCAAACAAAGATATGCATGAATAGTGTTTCATAAAGTATAATTATTGTAAAGAACCAATTATAGCTTGCTCAAGGGTTTAGAGGTTAAGTGTCCACACAGGGGACCAAAGGTACTAGGCCCGATTCCCGGATGCGGAGCCGTAGATGAGCACTACTGAGGAGTCTAATACTGGGATGGAACACCACCCAGTTCTTTCAGGTTTTTAATGATGGTCTAGATAAGATCAGTTAGTGTCTTAAACTCTGGAACTTCTGCGATCTCCACAAATCTCCTTATGTTATAATGTTTTTAGCTAGAGATGGAGTTAATACAATGGTATTTGGATGCAATTACTTTTCAATCTTTGTATTTAATTGATTTAAATAAAAAAAATCTTGAATTTTATTCAATTAGACTTTTTCAGCCAGAGAATATCGTAAACATCCTTTCGATTTTCCATATTACATACGGTTTTTAAAGTCTTTTATCTTGATGTTAGGCTAAATGAATTAAAATTAATTAAGTTTATATTCATACTTAGCTTATACTTAATTAAATTTGAATGATTAAAGCTAAGGGCGGACATATCAGTACTTAACATTAGTTGACAAATCCGCTTACAGGTGGGTTGAGCTATGTTGCTGGGCCCAGACTACCTATGATTATCTTAACCAATCGTTAGGAACGTTTAGTGTTAAGGCTGAGAATCAGTCATATTGGAGCTGAGATAATTACATTTTACGTTCCCTTAGGTCTTTCGTTTTAAAATTGTTTTATATTTTCCTATTGCATAACTTAACTCTTCGTGAATTGCATTGCCTATGCTCAAACTTGTCTATATTTTAATTGATACCGTTACCAGTAATATTACTCTAGTATTGGTCTAGATAATTTTTTTTATCTTAATGTACTATTATGATGTGATAACTTGAGTCAATGTACATATGTACCAAGTTCTGTAGCCGACTGACGTGAGTGACTGTGATACGTTTGCTCATTATTCGTAAATATATCTTAAAAATGTAATCGTAAGCTACTTGGGGCTCATAAATGAAAAGAAATGATGATAGTGATTTTGTGAAAAAGGTCACTTTTCACGAATAATTCTACGATATTACTGGAATATTCTTACGTAATATAGTTATTGATTACCTAAAACGTTTTTTACAAAAATATTAGTATAAAGATTTTGAGGAGTCCCACAATAGAACGAAACGGCTGTCCAATGCTTCCAGGTTTTCCACGGTGGTCTAGCTTCAATTGACTCATGATCTTAACTACTGAAATTATTATAGTTTATAGTTTAAATCGTAAACTGACTTTATTTTGGATAAACATTGAAAATTATTTAATGCTAGCAAACTAAACTAATTCTGAAGGTTCAATACTTGATTTTTTTTAGTAAATTTGCAGATGCATATCAATGAGCAGTCTCATACTAGAATAAAGCAATCTACTTCTCTAGTTAAGATCCATCCATGTTATAAACTATGAAATACATTCATCTCCATAAGACACTTTCTTAAGTATAAAAATAGATGTTGTCACATGAAGTTTTAAGAAACTGAGGTGATTAAAAATGTTTGATTTCAAAATTATATCATTTCTTAGTAATTTACAGAAGAAGAAGGACGGAAGATTAAGGTCAAAACTTTTTTTGGTACTTTTCTTACATTCTTAATTTATGATAGGCAGTCTGGTAAAATTTCAAAATTAATTCATTGTTCACTTGATATTGTTTGGCTTGTATCTTCCCATTGAGGTTTAAGACTGCAATTGATCAGTCTGTTATTGGCATATGTACATACTGTGCGTATGCCTCGATATTGCCCTAATTCACAATGGGAAGATACAAGCCAAACAATACTAAGTGAATTTCAACTTTACCCCATTGCACGAGCAAGTGGCTATCCGAACTCAGTAGCTGAGTGGATAACGCGATGGCGTTTGCAGTAAACGGTACTGGGTTCGAGTTCCAGAGTGAACATCAAATCTGAGATGCAGGTACATCCAGGTGACGAGTCTCAAATCGGACGAAACGCGCGTCCTGGATTCCACTGTTAGCCACTATCCATCATTGCTTATTTCATTGTTATTTGAAATAATTGTTGGGCAAAACAAATCATCCTATATTTTTATGGACTAATCTATAAAAATAAACGGAGTTTAACGGTAATGAGAATGGGAATACATTGATAATATACGAATCGACACAATCTTCTGACTCATTACTTTGTTTCTTACTGAGCCATTGGAAGTTCAAAAGACATTTGGGTTGTGATTACTACCAAATATTGTTTAACAAAATCATGATTTGACTATCTTATCAACTTATTTGTCATATTGTTCTAGTAACTTATTCCAATTCTAGGAATCTCTCACTTTACTGTTTCACGATATGCAAGCAATGTTTCAAATGTACCAAGAATAGGATATCTGAAGCATATACATGTCTTCTATTTTCATAGATTATGCTTCACAGTCATAGAGTAATAAAAAGAGGATTGCTACTCAGTATACTCAACCTTCGGTTGACAGGTGAACATAATCCCTATTCTATAAGTGATGCAAGTTCATGAAACTCAGCTGACTTTCCTGAATCCATGATAAGATTTCGTCAGACATTAACCCACTAGGGCTGATGTAATTTCTTAAATAGTACTGGACAAGTGTTTTATTCTTATTTAGAAAAAAAATGAACTGTTAGATTTCATTTTAGTGGCTTAATGGTATTGTATTAGTTATAAGCTCAAAAGCCTCTGAACAATAATAATCTGTCCAGTTATAAGCGTAGATCAAAAGTTTGAATTTGAAAAGAGACTTTATTTTACTTTATAAAATAAAGGGAAAAGAAACTAAACAGGGGATTTCTTTTTCTATCATTTACAGGATAATAGACTCATTGTAAAAATGTACAGTAATATTTTGGAACCAATTACCTTTAGATTAATATATAGATAGTCCACCGACCTACTAAATAAAAGGTATATTTTGATGTATATTGTGGACTTAACTGGTTTATGAGTGTTTATATATATAAATATCGTTTTGTAATAGTAATGATGAACATTTATTTTTGCGAAGCTTTTGAATAATGATCCATTTAAGAGCAAAAACAAATATTTAACTATTCCACTTAAATAACACTAAGTGATACCAAAGAACTGAGTGAATCTATAAAAGTTATCACACTTTTCAATAATGTTGGAAAATTAAGTGGACTCATTTAGTTGTGTAAAAGTTGCATCTTCAATCCTAGAACTCATAGTTGTATATCATTATGCTATTGTTAAGTAAGAAGAGTTAAGGTTTAACCACTTGTTAACTGTTATTAACTTCTTTTCATTGATATTATTTTAACAAAAGCTTAGATATTACTCATTAAGAAACATCATACTGATAGGAAATGTCCTGAAGTAGTAATTTATCATTACTTCTGTTACTCTAAATACAATGTTAACCAGCAAATTATTATAATCGAATGATAATATAATAGATACAATAATCCATAAACATTTAAGTATTTAACAATATTACAATATGACATTTAATATCAGATGGGTTTTGTGGATATTGTAGTAATTTCTATGGTTAAGATAATGAGTCACTTGAAGCTAGACCACCATGGAAAACCTAGAAGCACTCCAAAGCCATTTCGTCCTATTGCGGGACTCTTCAACAGTGCGCATCCACGACCTCGCCCCTTGCGAGATTCGAACCCAGGACCCACTGGATGTGGCGCTCAATTTCGTGGATTAGTTGAAGTTAGGCATTAAAAACAATAGTTGTGTACATTATCAATATTTGTGTAAAAGCATTCTATCATTCTCCTTTAATGTGAATACTTTATATCTGTGAATCATAGACATATATTAGAATGTAGAACATATTGTATTGTAAACTTCCTATTATGTTTCAGTATTTAAAAATTTTCATATTGTGAATTGGAACAATATATTTAAACGAATAATATTATTTTCGATTAGATCTACATTAGGCTTCACTTTAGTATAAAGTAATATTTATATATATAGTCATTTTAAACGTTATCATATTATCCACTTAGCTACTGAGCCCGGATAGCCACTTGCTTGTGAAATAGAGTAACATTTAGATTCACTTAGTATTATTTACTTGAATCTTCCTATTGATGTTTAGTACTGCAATTGATCAGTCTTTTATTGACATATATATATCCTGTACGTATTGTCTTGATATTGTCTTAATTCAAAAGTATTCTAAATTAATATTTAGAACTGTTTCTTAGTAATCTATTTCAGTAGGATAACATAAAATAATTCAATCTATAAATTTATAATTTACAATTAATGATTGAATAAATGTCATTTATTATTTATTGTAAAATAATTGAAAATACACTGAACTTTGATTCGTAGATAATAAAGATATATACATAGGCAGATAGATAGATAGATAGATAGATAGATAGATAGATAGATAGATAGATAGATAGATAGATAGATAGATAGATAGATAGATAGATAGATAGATAGATAGATAGATAGATAGATAGATAGATAGATAGATAGATAGATAGATAGATAGATAGATAGATAGATAGATAGATAGATAGATAGATAGATAGATAGATAGATAGATAGATAGATAGATAGATAGATAGATAGATAGATAGATAGATAGATAGATAGATAGATAGATAGATAGATAGATAGATAGATAGATAGATAGATAGAGTGTTTTAATTCATTAAATGCGCTATATTTAATCATTTGGATAGATTGTTACGTTTGTTAATTGAGTATTGAAGTGAATTATTCACTGACAGGTTTATATATTAACTTTGATTAATTAATAAAGGTCAACTTAGTTTAGTCTAATAATACGAATGATAAATATAATAATAATGGATCGCTCATAGATTTTATTCATTGTTTTTTTGTAGTCAATTTATGTTACAGGTTAATTTTAGTAATGAAATCATTGAAAATCATGATGAATTGAATATTTTTTACACTTCAACAACAGATCTGTCAGTAATGTCAACTTATGACATTACTCAAAGACTGAACCTATTATGAAATGATATTTATATTATACCGTGGATTTACTTGATCATCAAATGTGAACTATTCGATCTTAGGTCATTGGTTGAATGATAATGAGAATTTGATCTAACAGTTCTCATTTTGATCCTTGTAAGGGATCAAGTATTTAGTGCTTACTTCTTATTCGACTATTTTTTTCTATTTAATCATATTGTTATTATGATATAATTACATCATAGGATCAAGCCGAACGAGAAAAAGACAATTAGGTTTGTTGATGGAAATACATAAATAAAGAAGATTCATATAACAGTACTTAAACACTGTTGAGGAGTCCCACAATAGGACGAAACGGCCGTCCAATGCTTCCAGTGTTTCATGGTGGTTTAGCTTCAACTGACTCATGATCTTAACCATTGAAAAAATCTTAAACAAGCTTACAAAAATTCCATATAATGCTTGAAACGTTTAAAAATCATTAGAAAGAATTATTTTTTGTCATTAGAGTGAAACATGTCCAAAGCTATTAATTTATTATGAAAATTATGAATAATATGAAAATCAATGAGCCTTTGTTCCAGTATTCTTAGTTCATCGTAAAACCTCAAATTAGTTCCTTTATTAGTAATACACTAAATAACAGAAGTGCTATTGATGTAGAACATTTAAAATTCTCAGAAGGGGTTTTGTGGAGATTTTAGAAATTTTAATAAATGAAATGTTCGTCATTAGTGTTTAGTCATTTTTGTGATGAGGCTATAATTTATAGACGCTCTTTGAGCGATGCTAAAGTGATCTTGAGAATGTCCGCCTACATACTATCGCTAAATGAGGGTTATAAATAAGGAATAATATTCATAGCTGATAGTTAGGGTTAGGAATCAGATATAGGGTTTTCATCACAAACTGACATCAGCTAATAATGCCAAAAAATCTATTTAACCAAATGAATGAATCAATGATTTTCACTCCAAAATTCAAGACCTATTATCGTCGATCTGATTGGTTCATCCGTGAATTATAGTCTTGACATTTTTGTAAATCGAATGAAATCATCATCTTGTAATTAGTCTGTTTATACTATTAAGAATTTGAATGGACTGATATTAATGTATATCGCAAACTGGCTAGTATATTCCAAGAAGTTATCAATAATAGGACGACATATATGTATGTTAACATTTTTGTTATGCAGATTGATGATATGAATGTATGATAATAGCACTTTTTTTAAACATAATAATTAAGTAACCATTCGCATTCACTTTACTAATTCATTTGTATTTAGATACATCCAGATCAAGTTATTCTAGCGCCTAGTCCATTGTCAGTTTACAAAGAATATCATGATAAATGTGTATTATTTATTGGACAAGGGAATATTATTAAATTGGCAAACGAGTAAGTTATGTTAATTAATTTTTTGCATATATATATATACTACTTATAAGTGTTTTAAGATTAAAAAGCAAAATATAAGATTATTGGAAATAACTGCTTAAGAACAATACGCAGTGGTTTAGTTTTTTAGTAACTTTTTAAGGAGTGTCAGTCAGACTCTTATTCCACTGTTTGTTTTCTTGAAGATAACGTTGGTGTGTTTTTATAATGGCTTCATAGCAAGCTGAAGATATATTTAGACGTAATTCATTGTGTAAAATATTTCAATGACAATATACTATTGACAAATCTCTTAAATTCATTTTACAAAATTCATAATTTAAATGTTGTCAAGTGATTTTAGAACATTTCACAATGGTAATTATTCTAGTAATATCTGGATTTCTTGTCTAAACCACACATTGAAATTATTATTGTTTATGTGATGCTTATTCAGATAACATGACAATTTAATTAAAATGTTTAATGTTTGTCTCAATCGACAAGGAAATAATACCCTAATTTTTTGATTGAAATCATGAATCGACTAATGTTAGACCACCATTGAAAACACGCAAGCACTGGATGGCCATTTTGTCCTAGTATATGACTCCTCAGTAGTGGGCACCCACGATTCTATACACAGGATTCGAACCCACGAACTTCGGCATCGCGCGTGAACACTTAGCCTCTAGACCAGTGAGCCAGGGCCCTAGTTTTTAATTATTAACTGTCACACTGTTATAATTTGTGATCCTGTGTGCCCTGTATATTGGATAACGCAACGATACAGCCAATCAGAGGGCAGCGAATTATCGATCGAACGAGTGACGCTTAAAACACGTGCGAGCAACCTAGAGTCCTTATTGGTCTCGCTTCCTGTCTAGCACAGCCAGTTAAGTCCAGAACACAAGTCTCAGCCTCTGCCATATGAATCATTTATTTCAAACATACTTGGTTTATATATCAACCAGACAGACCACAACGTACCAATGAAATATGAAACAACATCTGTACAAGAATTGGCCAGATGTGGCTGTGAATGAGGGAGGTAGCGATTAACAGACAGAGAATAATTCATGAATGGTTAATCGTATAATAATAGTTCATAGGTCAAAATAAAACTCATAATAAGAGGGACATGAATATGAGCAGTTTAGTTGCATAACAATTATACGACAAAAATATACTCATAGTATTGGTCCATAAATGGATCCCAAGAATTACCATTCATTATTCTTAACGGGATATAACACACACTAGTAGTTTAAAGGTGATACGCTTGTCAAAACATCTTGAATAACCGTGTTCGTTACGTATCATGATAGCAGATGCAGACCGTCAAGAAGTGTTCAGGTTGGATGGAGTAGCTAGACATTTATTCCTATCTTCCAATGAGCATCTAACTATAATCAGTTTGTTATGTCGACTATCTTCATTCTGAGGAATCTTTTTAAGCTTTTTGTGGTGATAACAGTAATAGTAACCTACGTAAATTTTTTAAATGTTTAGTTTGAGACCAATGAATAGCAATCATTATAGGATCTGTGGCTGGTTCATTTGTACATTCAGTTATGAATTGTACACAACTAAACTTCATTGAATTAATTGAATACGGCTTTATTTGTTCGTTTTCATACATGTGAATAATATATATGTATAAATTATAAATTATTTGTACACAGTTTGTTTAACAATGTACCATCACGAACTAACATTCAACTAAACATCATAAAGAACTGAGACATTCTTGTGCACAAATCTCTTCAATAATGTAAATACATAGTGTAGTGAACAGAACATGGGTGGGGACAATCGAATGTATTCAACACAAAATTACAGGACTTGTTAATGAAATCTAACAATCATAAAGTAAATGCTTAATTTGCAAAATGTCCGTCAATTGTCTTAAAATGACTCAGACTTCATTGTTCTTGCATTTTTATACAAATTGCACTTTGTTTCTATTCTTTACTTTTCGATCCTCTTGTCTTTCTGCTGCCAGACCTTCTATTCACGACTAACATCATATACTACTTATGTCAATATAAGTAGCACACACTACAATAGTATTAATGATAAAAAAAGTCATAATTTAAACAGTTGGTTAGTTAACACTAATTATTCATGTGAATAATAGTGAATTAATGAATAATTCAAGACAATAGGTTGATTATAAAAGTCTATGTTAAATGAGATAGATGACCATGATGAAGAGAAACACCCTACAAAGGTCATTTGGTTAGATTTTCTTTTATGTGAAAAGTAAATTATAGAAGTATATAGTAGACTGAGTAAGATTCAGTAGTTAACATGTTTAAATTATGGATAATAAATGAGTAAGAAAACCATAGTGAATATTTATTATCAATAAATAGTGTTGATGTGTAAATATGATTTTCATAATGAACTGATATCAGTAAGAAAGCTGATGGAAACTAAAGAGAATAATATAAATGTTCCAATCTAATTTAGAACTTCCTAACTGTTAACACATATGGATTCAATCAAACAATCGAACTCAGAACTTTAAATTTTTATTCATAATATGGTACATTTTTTTAATCACCAAGTGAAAATTGAATAACTGATCCAAGCTAATAATGAAAGAAAGTTATTATTTGATACTTCCTTATTTTCGATACCTAATCAGCTGATTTTAATTCATTATAAAGAATAAGTTCAAACAGAATAATCTTTCAATAGTTGATATCATGAGTCAATTGAAGCTAGACCATCATGGAAAACCTGGAAGCACTGGACGGCCGTTTCGTCCTACTGTAGGGCTCCTCAGCAGTGCGCATCCATGACCCTGCCTCGCGGGATTCGAACCTATGGCCTTCAATCTTGCGCGCGAACGCTGTGATCAGTGGAGATAGTCCGTGTTGGGTAGAGACAGGTATCTATCTCAGTGCAATGCAAGATGGTCGTGCCATTCCGCGGATTGTTTGTGGTTAGATATTAACACCGTTGGATGTCGGCTAGGTGGTCTAGAGGTTAAGTGTTCGCACACGAGTCTGACGGACCAGGGTTGGAATCCCGCGAGACGTGATCGTGGATGCGTACTACTGAAGAGTCTCATTCTGGAACAAAGTGGTCGTCCAGTGCTTCCATGTTTGCAATGGTGATCTAACATTTATCGATTCATTATCTCAATCAAAAAATTATTTTTTCTTATATCCTAATGAGTAGAAAAATTGCATTTCTGACGTTTTGTAACTTAGTATAAGCCACTTCTTTAGAGTAGTGGCTTACATTAAGCCACGAAATGTCAAAAATACAATTTTTCTACTCATTAGGATATAAGAAAAATATATTTATTATGAATTCTTTACCCAATGATCAATTTATTTGAAACTATCAAGTTCAACCTTGATACTGACGCCGATTAACCAATTATCATATGATATTCAGATGATGCGATATACATTGAATAGTCAATTTCAAATTTCACATAGAATCATTTATGGGCTTTTCACAACATTCATGACATATAAATAACTGTTATAAAAGTGATGTGAGCTGTCATTATAGTAGTAGTAGTAGTAGTAGTAGTAGTAGTAGTAGTAGTAGTAGTAGTAGTAGTAGTAGTAGTAGTAGTAGTAGTAGTAGGAGGAGGAGGAGGAGGAGGAGGAGGAGGAGGAGGAGGAGGAGGAGGAGGAAGAGGAAGGGGTGACTGATGAGGTAAAATGAAATCTTTATGATATTAATATTTCTCGTCTCTCTCTCACTCTCTCGAGTTGACAATTGTTATACAATATAATGCATCGTTGAAAAAAAATAAAAATATTGAATACATTTAACCATGTATTTAAACTACAAAAATGTAACTTTAATTTTTAAAATGTAGGGCATATCAGAAAGTTTTTCAATCAGTAATAATAAGATTAATTAATCATGTAGAATATTGATCACTTAGGTATTTCAATAACCAGAAGAGGTTTGTGGAGATTTTAGAAATTTCACAGTTAGACATTTACACCATTAGATGCCAGCTCAGTGCTCGAGGTGGTTAAGCGCCTGGCGCGAGAATGACAGGTCCTGGGTTCGAATCCCGCGGGGTGCGGGATCGTGGATGCGTACTGCTGAGGTGTCCCGTACTAGGACGAAACAGCCGTCCAGTGCGTCCAGGTTTTTCATGATGGTCTTTCTTCAATTGACTCATGACTTCAATCTGTGAAGTTTCAATAACCTATTAAGTAAATATTAATTATGTTCTCATAGATGATCAATGTAGAGATAAGTTCCCTAAGTCATAGTTAATGAAACATAAAATTCTGTTAATGTTAGAAGTTAGATAGATATTCATCAGTGACATTATAAAATATCTCATTACAATATAAACTAATTTAGATTAGTAATATGAGCTGTATGATTTTGACTCATTGATCTAATGTAATTCATTCACTACGGAATTATGAAAGTATTCAATTGTGTTCAATGTGAAATTGTAGGTGTGCATTGTTGAGGAATCTAAAAATTAAAACTTAAAAGCTGTCAGGAATTATTTCATTCTCGAAAATTTTACATTTTGAGTTAATTTGTTATGAAAACTAATTTTGAATTGAATCTACTTAAACAAAGTAACTCAATTAAGGACTAGTGCGTAGTAGTTGGTACTATGAAGTGATCACTTTTTTTAGTATTCTTATTGATATCACTAGTATAGATTATTAGATTACTGTATTAATTTACTAAGCTATATGGCTATGTAGAGCTGAAGGTCTCATATAAAACTGGAGGTTCACCATTGGTATTGTGGATGGTTCGGCATCGCTTTGGCAAGTTTTGCTGACTGTTCATGCACAAAATTGGTTTTCTGGTTAACCGATTTCATTCATATTGGTGGTTGCTTTTCAGTGTTCTCAAAGTCCATTATCATTGCGACATTGTAAGGCATGTCGCCATTGCTAACATCAATGAGTTTGACTGTCGTTTAATCAGAATAGGTCAACTTTGGCCTGTTCGTGCTGTTCATAATTGATTCGCGCAACCATTGGTTGGAATAACTATACATGTGACGTGAATGTGTATATGAATAGTGCGAATGGTCGACCAGGGTACTTCGTACCTGTGCGGTTGCGCCACAGGATCGAGCTGTACTATTCATATTGTAGCGTTAAAGCCTATATGGTGTCTGGTTCTCCTGTGAAGTGGGGTTGAGATGTACTGCCTGGGTCATAAAATTTAAGCCTGGACGGCGTCTGGCTCTCCTGTTAAACGGGATTGATCTGTACTGTTTGGGTTGTCACGTGGAAGTCTGGATGGTGTCTGGTTCTCCTGAAAACCAATGTAAAATTACCCTGGCCCACAAGGGTGTATTATATAACTATGAATAAACTGGTTGATCCTGTCCGTATTTATATTAATTGATTAGATGCAAAATTAACAGTTCTGTTATGGTATTGTTTACGGTAAGAAAATTATTGAAACTGGTGTTTAATGCCTAGCGTTTATGAAATTTTAAAGTAGATTATTACATTGGAAAATGTTATTAACTATTCAACGACTTATTTGTATGGTTTTTGTCAAGTGACATGCAAAATTTCTTGATCTGATTCACCGTGAGGCCTCGATTGTAGACTACTGGTGAGAGCGAAACAAGAATAAATATGATATATGCATATGAATATAGATGTATATACAATTTATCTATCCACTATAACCTTATATGAATAATTATAGTATCGTTTGAGTATTTATAGAACACTGAAAAGTTCTGAAACCATACTTTACAAACAAAGTCATTCTTTAATAATTACTGTTAATATTATTTCTTTACTATTCAATTATAAATTTGATAAGCTTTATATATGTATTGTACGTGTTTAAATATCTCTATGAGTGCTCTTAAGGAAATAGAATTGACTGAAAGAACCTTCTTATCACTTTCAAAACATTTAGGTAAAATTTAGCCTAGGTCTTGGTTGTAATGGTGTTCCAGGAAGTTCATTAATTTTCAAAATCTCTCCTAATCACTATAATACTCTTTGATTTTTGTAAATAAATTACCTCTAAAAATACAGCTATAGGATTCAAGAACCTAGCACATTGTTTTCTAAAATATATATTGCACAAGCTATTGGTTATCAGAACTTAGTAGCTAAGAGGATAGTGAGATGGCGTTTGAAGTGAACAGTACTGGATTCGAGTCTTAGAGTGAACATCAACTCTGAGATGCAGGTACATCCAGCTGACGAATATGAAGCAGGACGAAACATGAGTCCTGGATTCCACTGCTAGCCATCACTCATCTTTGCTTATTTTAATATTTGTTTCTTTTTTTTCCCTACAAATTTACAGTCTTGGATTCACGAATGTTGTAACACTAGAGGATGTACAAGCTGCTTATCCACTGTTAGATATGGTAGATCACGAACATCGGAGACATATTGTAAGTTTAATTGAAAATATGAACTGAAGTGAAAAAGAATAGAAATCAACGTAACTTGATTATAAATTGTTTTGAGTATATCAATTAGTTTATCAAGCAATGATAAGTGACGTTAAATATCACTGATAGTTTAAGAGTTACAAAGTATCATATTTAGCATTACTATCTATTATATAAAACATTTCTTGAATTAAAATACTTCTTAGGTTATTTAACTTTTGATGTAAGTATGTTATCATTGATATACTAATTTTTTCTTTACACTTTCGGGTTATAACCTTTATTGTTATCTATATGAGCTAATCAATTCACTGTGACCAATGTTTATTTTAATATTCACTCTGAGACTCCAATAATTTTTGTTATAACTCGAATTCCTGACGATGGCTCAGAATCGATCATAAAGGCGTAGATGTATACACTCTCTGTCTTCCATTAAACTATGAGATTAAAATTGATTTATATCTTTCTTTCTACTAACTAATTCTTTCTTCTTCTACTATATCCTTATACACAATCTTCCTTTTATATATATCCACCATTGACTCAGCTACTTCTATGAATTCGGTGTTCATCTTGTTGTGCTAATGAGATATGGCAACTGGGACCGATACATATATAGGCCTGATTCTACGCTGTAGATGACTGACTGACTGAGTGAAACCCTAATGAGTTTTCGATTAACTTATTTAGTTCAAATATTTATTAACGTATCCAAATATGATGAGATATATGAACTTGATTCCACAACTAGATAAAATCTAAAAAGTATGAGAAAACTGTATTCCACCTAGAATTTTGATATTTTATCCGTTGAATTAATATTCACTACAGTTTACATTCACTGATATGAATGATGATATTTCGTCATGTATATTTCATAATATGCGTTCGTTGATGAATATGAGATATGTCATATCTGTCCAACTTAGTGTTTCTAACGTTATTTCTCAGTTTATCACCAAATAATGATGAATGAGTCTGTGCTCACTGTTATATCATTTAATGAAAATGAAAATTGATCGAATTGACAGAGTTGATTTGTGAACTGTACTAACTCCAAAATGTTCTCATATATGGTTATATAATCCGTTCTCAGTTTTCTAAATCTAATTTCACAATACTATATATCAAATGATAAAATTAAGTGTAACTACTTTGTTATAGAAAATAATTTTCCCTAAGTTTTCATGTATCGACAATATGGTAGTTCATTTCACCTCTTCTAAATCATATCTGTGTACGTCGTACTTTCTTATGCATCCTATGTTTATACCTTTTTAGATTAATTCTTAATCTGTATGGTTTGACTTTTTGAATATTAATGTTTTCGTTTCTACCTCTGGTTAGTGGAATGCATTCATAAATAAAATTTCGTTGTTATATTCTCTTATTTTGGGATTCACAATAGGACTGTTGATATTATAAGCAAGGATGGATAGTGGTTAACAGTGGAATAAGGAACACGCGTTTCATCCTATTTGAGACTCGTCAGCTGGATGTGACTGCATTCTGAGACTCGAACCCAGTACCGTTCACTTCAAACGCCATCTCGTTATCCACTTAGCTACTGAGTCCTGATAGCCACTCGCTTGTGGAATGAGTCGAAGTTTAAATTCACTTGGTGTTGTTTGTTTGTATCTTTCCTTATAAAGCTTGTGATCTAAGGCAGTATCGAAGCAATTCACACAGGATGCACATACGCCAACATGAGAATGATCAATTGCAGTACTAAACAAGAAGATATAAGCAACCAACACCAAGTGAATTTAGACTAATGGAGTTATTTACTTCTTTTCATGACAAAAAATGAGTTATCCTGAAGTGAAGTGTTGAAATTATTGACTTGATTATATGGAGAAGTTTAACTTCAAGTTTGAAACTAATTGTTCTATAGACAATCCTACTAGTGTTCTTTTAGCCTGTTGATTTTTAGCTCATTTTAAATTTAAATTTCAAATGATATTTCTAGGTGACATTAACGGGAAATTCATAATAAAGCTTTTGTTGATATCGATACAGGTAGCAATTTACAAAAATTCTAATAATATGCGTAAACTAAAAACAGAAGTGACAATATGTTGTTAGATGACATTGATTTCTTGAACTGGGATACAATCGATAAATTGTTCAGGCTACTGCTGAACACATATAGACCCAAGTTGTTCTTAGACACCATAAAGATATCAGAAGGACTTTTGTGGATATTATAGTAGTTTCACTGGTTGAGATCATGAGTCAATTAAAGCTAGACCAGCATGGAAAAACTGGAAGCACTCCAAGGCCGTTTCATCCTATTGTGAAACTCCTCAGCAGTGGGCATCCGCGATCCCACCTCGCAGGATTAGAACCCACTAGACCACTGAGCCGGCATCCAACGGTGTTAATGTCTAACTTTAACCGATCCACGAAATATTCACAAAAACCCTTCTGATATCAATCAACATATGTTCACTAGTGACTGGCTTCAAGAGATATATCCTGGAGTTCTAGTGAGAAGCAGTGACCGGTGGAATTCAACTAGGTTTATTGTGAGATAGTAACTCACTGAAGACAACGGTTGATTTGCGCTCAATTTCGTGTATTAGTTGAAGTTAGACATTAACACCATTGGTTGCCGGCTAGCTCAATGGTCTATAGGTCCTGGGTTCGAATCTCGCGAGGCGGGATCATGGATGTGCACTGCTGAGAAGTCCCTTACCAAGATGAAACGGTTTTGGAGTGCCACCAGGTTTTCCACAGTGGTCTAGCTTCAATTAACGCATGATCTGTTTTCCAGTGTTCAGTGTTTAATATATTAATTGAGCTTCTTTTGAAAATATCATTCAATGTTCAATTTTATTTCTTGTTTAATTCTTTTAATTTATTGACCTGTTCAATAAAGTTATTAAAAAAATTTCTCTTGTTAGATTAATAATCCACCGACACCAAAACCAATGAAAAGAATTGAAGGTAAATTTGTTTTTGACTGATTTTAAATTCTTTTATTACACATAAACACTTACTAATTGATCATTTGCCAATTTTAGAGATTTATATTCGTATGTGTATATTTTGATGAAACAACCTTAGTTAACCTTAATATCTATATAACTATCCAATTGAACTCTATTTTATTACCTGAACCCATTTGCCTAAGGCGTTATAACCTAATTAAAATTATTATTATTACTATTATTCTCTAATGTATGCATTATTATTAGAAATAATGATAATGATGGTAATAATAATAATAATAATAATAATAATAATAATAATAATAATAAGGATCATACGAAGATTATTTCTTGTTAAGTATTGACTACTATACTGATGTTATAGATTATTTTGCAATATATTAGGTGTGTAAATAAAATTTGATGTTAGATATATTTTAATCGTTTAAAAATCCCCGTCATATTAAAAGACTAATATTTGAACGAAGAATATTCTTTTCGATAAATTCTCTTCAGGTTCTACAATTATATATCCAAATTAATAATCCGAAAAATGGCCAAATTAAGGGTAAAGTACATCGTTTAGAGCATGTGAATTTAGGATTGTGATAAACAAAATACAATAAAATTGTTAATATGACTCATATAAAATGTTAACTTGAATCTGCGTATATGTTAAATGAAATTTTAAGATCCATGATCAGAATAAATATGGGTCAAATAGGGTGAGAGAGAAATAATAGTGCAATTACAATTCGATCAAATAAGTAAGACGTAATACAGAGGGATGAATGCAAAGTGAATGAATCATGTAAAGGGGAGATTAATGATATTTAACCAATAGTACGAATAATAATAATAATAATAATAATAATAATAATAATAATAATAATAACAATAATAATAATAATACAAAGATTTATGAATAAAGATAACAGGGACAATTACAATTGACTACGAAAGGTCATAGTCAAATTGGGTCATTCAATAGTTAAGATTACGATTGATTAATTGGCCTTGGTGTTGGCCAGGGGAGGAGGAGTGGCTGAACATATTTCTTCTGTACGCATAGCTCCGGTTTCTTCATTCGGATGGCTACTGCTTCAGCCGTTTGAAGGACTTTCAGTCTGACCAGTTTTGGCAAAAAATTACTGACCTTATAAATAATAGAAAAAGATTGGTTTATACTGGCACTATGACCGGTTTGTACTAAATGGGCCAATATTGAGCTGTTCACCTTCTTCATCAAACCTTTGTTCAACCACGCCGGAAGGTGTTCACGAGCACGAAAATGTAAATTCCTAGAACTTCGACCAATATAACTCGCTCCACAGGAGCAGTTGAACTGATAAATACAAAATGAGGTGGTCATTCTAGGTAATTCATCTTTTAGCTTCGGTGTAACCATTGGGCGCGTAGAAAATACTAATTGCAGTTCTCCGGCGTTAAAAGACTTTTGTATTGTCCTACGTAGTCTCTGAGTTAGTATTTCGCTAGCCGCATCCCCTCTGAATTGTAGACGCATGAACAGGGATTTCTTCTTCACTGTTTGTATTTCGCCTACTTTCGCCTTCGTGACCATATATTTAATTATAAACTTTCTAGGGTAGCCGTTCTCCCTGAGAGTATTATGCAAGGTGGTAAGCTCTTGTTCGACTATATCAGCAGAACATATAGTGCGAATACGGTAGCTAAGGTTTTTGATCAAATTTCGTTTGTACTGTAGAGGTACAAAGCTCAGGAAATTCGTATATTGCCCAGTCCAAGTACTTTTTCTGTTTATATTCCTTTTTAACGATCCATCCGCTCTCTTAGTCAAGAGAACGTCCAAAAAGGCTATTCGGCCATCACTCTCTTCTTCAGATGTAAACTGAATGGCTGGATGTACTTCATTAAATCGTCTAAGAACCTCTTGGGGCGATGTATTATCTTTACAGAGGATGAACGTGTCATCCACGTATCTACAGTAAAATGTGAAGTTGTCAATAATCTTTTTTAGTGGACCATTTTCTAGTTTGGCTAGAAAAATATCAGCTAGTATAGGGCCCAGTGGTGAACCCATTGCAACACCATCAGTTTGTCTATATATTTCCCCGTTGAACTTGAAATTTACATTCATGGTGCATTTGAGTAATAACTCTTTCACGACGCTAATAGGGACAGTAGTTTCAATTTCATTTTCTATCAGCTGTTCACCTATATATTCTACAGTCTCTATGAGTGGGACGTTTGTGAATAACGATGTTACATCCAATGACATCATCTTCAGTCCCAACGTATTTGCGTTTTTGATTTTATCAACAAATTGGAAAACATCCTTAACACTATATTTTACAAGCTTTTCATGTAGAGGTTTCAATACAGTTACCAGCCATTTAGCTATAGTATGGTAAGGAGAGTTATACATATCTAAAATAGGTCTTAATGGGACCCCCGTTTTGTGCACCTTTGGTAATCCATACAATCTCGGGAGATGGGTTCCCACTGGTTTAATCATTTCATATAAACCCGATGGGATAGCCTGTTGGTCCCTGAGCTTCTTCAAAGATCTGGTAAGCTCCTTCTCTATCTTATTATTCAAATCTTTCTGGTCAGTTGTTTTTTGAAACTTTGATTTGTCATTTAAGACTGTACTCATTTTTTCAATATAATCACTTTTATTAAGAAGAACGACACCTGAACCTTTGTCAGGTTTTGTAATCAGTACTGTCTCATTCTTAAGAAGTAGGTTAATAGCTTCCTTGTGCTTCTTTGTGAGAATGCTTTTGTAACTAAATTTATTGTTCTTATATTGGTAACAGCAGTCTACAAGAGTTGATTTAAAATGTTCTAATTGCAGATCAGAATTCACAACTAAATCACGTGTCTGACTATAAAGATTCTCAAACTGTATATCTGTATCGATGTGGTTACAGTTATTACGAGTATCACAAAATTTTAGACCTAAGGATAATACCTCTAGTTTTTCTTTATCTAGTTCGACACTTGATAAATTATGTACATACCTTTTACAGTCTGTTGGAAATTTGCTTTCGACCGTTTGATTTTCCAGACCTTTCAGTAGCTGGATGAGTTTCTTCCCTGATCTCTGATCCATCAGGTTTTTAACATAGTCCATAAAAGGTATTTTCAAATCATCAGTTAGGTCATCTACTGCATACTTTCTGCGAGAAACGTTCATCTGCATATCATTTATGTCTGAATGCAAGGCGTCAATCTGGTTCAGGGCGTGGCGTTTCAGTGTTTTTCTATTGGGATAAACCCCGTTTCGTCGAAGTGACGTGTAGTACAATTTAGGATAATGACCTGATTCGATGCATCTATTGATAAATTCAATAGTAGTTCTCGTTTCAGTGAACTTTACGTTATACTTCAGGAACTCATTGAGCACCTTCAACGCAATGGGTTGTTCACAACATTTTAATCGTTTAAAAATCCCCGTCATATTAAAAGACTAATATTTGAACGAAGAATATTCTTTTCGATAAATTCTCTTCAGGTTCTACAATTATATATCCAAATTAATAATCCGAAAAATGGCCAAATTAAGGGTAAAGTACATCGTTTAGAGCATGTGAATTTAGGATTGTGATAAACAAAATACAATAAAATTGTTAATATGACTCATATAAAATGTTAACTTGAATCTGCGTATATGTTAAATGAAATTTTAAGATCCATGATCAGAATAAATATGGGTCAAATAGGGTGAGAGAGAAATAATAGTGCAATTACAATTCGATCAAATAAGTAAGACGTAATACAGAGGGATGAATGCAAAGTGAATGAATCATGTAAAGGGGAGATTAATGATATTTAACCAATAGTACGAATAATAATAATAATAATAATAATAATAATAATAATAACAATAATAATAATAATACAAAGATTTATGAATAAAGATAACAGGGACAATTACAATTGACTACGAAAGGTCATAGTCAAATTGGGTCATTCAATAGTTAAGATTACGATTGATTAATTGGCCGAATTATTATTATTATTATTATTATTATTATTATTATTATTATTCGTACTATTGGTTAAATATCATTAATCTCCCCTTTACATGATTCATTCACTTTGCATTCATCCCTCTGTATTACGTCTTACTTATTTGATCGAATTGTAATTGCACTATTATTTCTCTCTCACCCTATTTGACCCATATTTATTCTGATCATGGATCTTAAAATTTCATTTAACATATACGCAGATTCAAGTTAACATTTTATATGAGTCATATTAACAATTTTATTGTATTTTGTTTATCACAATCCTAAATTCACATGCTCTAAACGATGTACTTTACCCTTAATTTGGCCATTTTTCGGATTATTAATTTGGATATATAATTGTAGAACCTGAAGAGAATTTATCGAAAAGAATATTCTTCGTTCAAATATTAGTCTTTTAGATATATTTAATCAATTTCTTTTATCTTCTTATCTTGGCTAGTGCCGTAAGGAACAAATTATGACTGAAATTATGCAGTATTGTTTAACAATAATTATAAGAAAGAATATCTCTTGAAATTCACTTATTTAGGGCTCGTTAGCTGGATATATGTGCATCCCCGAGTTGATGTTCACTCTGAGACTCGAACCCAGTACCGTTTACTTCAAACGCCGTCGCGTTTTTCACTTAGCTACTGAGTTCTGATAGCCACTTGCTTGTGGAATGTAGTGAAGTTTTATATTCACTTAATGTCGTTAACGTGAATTTTTTTATTGATATTTAGTACTACAATTGATCAGTCTCTTGTTAGCATATCTACATCCTGTGCAGATCGCCACGATGTTATCTTACATCACAAGCTTTATAAGCAAATATGTACGAAACGCGCAACATGGATTCCACTGCTCACCACTATCCATCTTTGATTATAAAGAATATCACTTTATTTTCTTTAATGTTCTTAATGAAATTGAAATTCATTTCGTTTATATTCAATTAAGAAGTGTTATGAATAACATTCTACTAATATAAATTACCCAACTTATCTGATTGATAAACAATTAGGTCATGTTTTAAAGTTACGCTTCTGATGAGGTTTTGGTTGTATACTACTAAGTTAAAATATTCGTCCAATCTCCCGTGATATTCACTACATGTTCGAGTAACTGCAAATTATGAAGTGTACTGTCTTTAAAATTTTGAGAACCTTTTATAGTAAGTAAATATATTAGTGCTGAGAATAAAGAATTGATGGTAGAGATAGAAAATTAATGTTCCAAGCCATCTGAAATCTCTAAATTCTAATTCTAATTCAATAGAAAATGTAGATTGAGCCTTTCAGTATCCTTTATTAAGAAAAAATAATGATTAAAGACAGTTCAAATAACCATAGATTCTTTGTTTATAAATGTGTTTATCAATAAATCTTCAAGTTATGAATCTTCCACATTTAAATGTCAGTTATACAATCAAATATAAAGAATTGATATAAACTGACATATAACTTATTATGTTGTATTAGACTAAATGAAATATGCTAATTGAAGAAAAGTTATCGTTCAAATACAGTCAAATATATTGGTTATGATAAATGATTGTCATTAGCTCTTAACATGGATTAAGTAACAGATTACCATATTTTAAAGTATAGTATTTCTTAAACTCAATAATTTTTTGTATTAGTTTGATGGAAATCCTTTAGTATCCAAATGCATGTTGACAACCAGCTTGTTAAATATATATATATATGAGAGTCTAACTACACCTCTATATGCAATTATCCCAAAATAGACTCTGACTAGTTATATTAAATCAAAGTTCTATTAAACGCATTTTTTCTCGTATGTTGGTTTGTCCATCAAAACTAAACTATCAGTATAGGGTTGGGGAGATTATTAAGATTTGAGTTCATGAACCGATTGATGTTAGACCATCATTGAAAACATGGAAGCACTGGACGGACGTTTCGTCCTATTGTAGGACTTCGCATTAGTGCGCATCACGATTGCGTTTCTCGGGATTCGAACCCAGGTCTCGTATGCGAACACAACCTCTAAACTACTGAGCTGGTTGGAATCCAACGGTTTTAATATCTAACGACAAACAATCCACGAACTCGTGCGACCATCTTGCATTGTACTGAGGTAGATACCTGTCTCTATCCAACACGGATTATCTTCACTGGTCACGGCGTTCACGTGCAAGGCCCTGGATTTGAATCCTGTGAGCGGGATCGTGAACACATACTGTTGAGTATTCTCACAATAGAACGAATCGGCCGTCCAGTGTTTCCATGTTTTCATTGGTGATCTAATGTCAATCGGTTCATGATCTCAATCAAAAACTGAATTAAATTGAGTATTTGAATTTATTTGACATCAGAGAACATATTTGAACAATGAACTAAATTAAAACATTTAACCTACTAAAAAAATTTAGTATTTATTTATTCCAGAAGACAGAATGACAGCCAAATACTTTACCTTTTTTTCATAGATAAACAAAGTTTCCTAAGATTATGTTTCCAACAAGATGTTAAATTAATTGATAAGAAATAATCATGGCTATCATCATTAAGTTTTATTATGTTGACAGTTGCTTAGTGAAATTCAAGGTAGATAAACGAACGAAATTAGTCACGGTTATGTCGACAGATTTAACAATAAGTTATGATATAAAATGGGGTTAATTTGGTGGATACTAACATATACTGAGATCATACATTTATCATTCAGTAAATAACACATTTAACCTAGTACATGTACATAATGGTTCCAGTTGCTACATTATATCAGATAACATTACGATGAAATTATCATGATAGAACTTAGGGTAACAATAAAGGTAGAAGAAAACAATCAAAGATGAATAGGAAAGTTTGAGAAGAAATAATGAAATGTTTCAACTAACTTCAAAGCACTTTAAGGTATTAGTTATGATAAATTTAGATCATTTTTTGAACGAAACAGGTAATTGACTTTTGGGATATACCTTATGTAGATCCATTAATATGTGCTAACCAAAATTCCAAGAAGCCGAAAAAATGATATTATTATCTCCCTTAATTCAATTATATTAGAATTGTGTTGTACATAGGCGTTGACTATTTGTTTGTGTGAATACAGTAGTTTTATTACAAACGTATAACAAAAGCTCGAGTTCTCTAGTAAGTAAGGTAACCTTCATGTTAAAATGAATAAGCTTGTTGGTTCATGCTAAAAATCAATGTGGTCAGTCTAATCGTTAAGTAGATAGTTGACCTGTAAAGTTCTTCACCATTACTATTGAATATAAGACTGTGATCTAATCAAAAAACAAAGAGTCATCTTGTTTATTCTGGAAATAAAACCACTCAAAATGAAGTGACTTCTCTTCTTAAATAAATTTAGACCTAATAATCCAAGTACTATCATCTATATACCACAAGATTTGAAAATTTCGAAAGACCCAAAGCAACAGTTTACTAGGTGACATGAGGTACTAATGAAAATCTACCTATAATATTAGTAGGTTTGAGAACAAATAAATCTCATAGATTTTTTTATTTTTTTTATAAAAAAAATCTTAGCTATAATCTTAACTGGTGAACCAGCAAGATGGGAGTCAAGTTTACAATTATTAGTTGATTTATTAATGACTGATGGTAAACCAGATGAAGTACCAGAAACATTTCCTGAAGAACATTTACCAATAATTGCATGTAATATGGATTTAGTTTATATGGATAAAGCTGCATTGCCTAGATTTGGTCATGGTGCATTTTTAATTTGTTTACAAACATTATATAATCAATTAACTGGTTATAAATTACGTTATACATCATTATTGGGTAAACCAAGTGAAATAACTTTTCGATTCGCTGAACATATACTTACTTTAACTTCAAAACGTATGGGATATAAAAGACCGATAGATCGTTTATTCTTTTTTGGGTAAGTTGAATCAATTTTACTTATTATTCTTTTTATTTTCATTTAGAATAGATGAAATGTAGGTAGCAGGAAAGATTCAGAGATTATGTTTCGGCCTATTTAGTATTCGTTTGTCAGATGTACCTAGTTCATGTGTCCTAAATTTTACTGCCAGTCATATTTCATCTATTTTTGCATGCACCTGCGACATTATAACTATGTCGAGGGGATTCGTACAAAACCACGTATGCTAAATAAAGACGGTACAATTACTGTCAAAATATCAACAAACGAATAGTTCGAACAATTTCATAATAAATAAACATTCATACTCGTCGCATAATTGAATGGCTATCCGAACTCAATCGCTAGAAGGATTAAGTGCTGGTATTTGAAGCGGAAGGCGTTTGATTTAAGTCTCAGAGTGGATATCAAACGGATGCAGATTCATTCAACTGATGAATCCCCAATAAAACGAAACAAGTGCTCTGGATTTCACCACTTGTCAGAATCCGTTTATTCTTTTAAAAATTTCCCGAGAATATCTAGATCGAAGTAGTCCTCACGTGATGCAATTATGCATCAAAGATTAATCGAAATCCAGCCAAGATTATCAAAAGTGGTATCACTCAAATCTTTTCTAATAATCATAAATTGCTCTACGTTTTACAGCTCGAAACAGGTATAAGTTTATGCCTTCATGAGATCCGGACGACACTTAAGTTACACTGATTAACAACTGACTAGAGTTGACGTAATGCCATTTGTCAATCTGGGACATGTTCTTTAGGGTAAGTGACTCAACATTGGGTAAAATTCGTTAGAAATGATAAGAGATACGATTATCTCAACAACAAACGACTCTAGTCGTTGTTTGGGTAAAACACTGCTAACATCATTGACACGACATTGAATGATGTGAGTTTGAATCGAACATTGAATTTCCGTTGCTTTTTGATCTAGGATATGATTTCCTTATGGGTGTCAAATAGCATGTACCTTGTGTTCTGAGATTCTTGTTTATCTTGACCAAACACTCAGTACTCTGTATATTTCTTATATCCCTTGAATAACTAAAAAAGCCCAGAATGTTTGCAACTGAACTAGACTGATATACTTCTGTTAATTCTATGTAAAGCAGAAACGGCATTTATCTGACGATGGTTTTAATAAAGTTTACGGTTAGTGACCTCGACTTATAAAAAATTCATACGGATATCTGTGTCGATAGATGCACATAATAGTGGTTAGATAACATGGTTTATACTTTCAAAAGTATCCAAATCATAATGCATACCGAGAAAATTGGTTGTATCTACCCTCCAAATATCTTTTATTGTATTTATCATCATGATGAGAGATTATTCAATTTAAAAGTGATATGACTTTTAGGTCACATAAACATTATCGATATCTTTTTATGAACAGCTAAAATAAAGTAACAGACAATTAATGATCATTCAACATAATACAACAATCTCAAACATACGCAGTAGATGACCTATTTAATGACTTTTCCAAGCTTCACATCAGAGCATCGACTTTTTTCATAGAAATTTGAATGTATTAAAGGAGTGATTTCTGATATTGTCCAGTTTAGGTAACCTTTCATAAAACACTGAGTTGTATTGTAATTTATTTATCATTTTTACGGAGATACAATAAGAATCCTAAGTATGGAGAGTATGAATTTTGTGATACTGGGTTTGAGATATTTCTTCAAATAGTCACTTATTACTTACGAATAGCTGTAACAACTGATTTACCACTGTGTTCAGTTAGCGATGAGTTTTCGGCCAAAGAAAAAGGAATAGATAACTTTCTTTTGATTTCATCTAGTTTCTTTGGATCAGAAGTTAAATAATTTCTCTGTGTATACAAAATAATAAAGGATTCTAGTTCATATGATGAGTAATGCTTAGTGAACTATCAAACACTACAAACAACTAAAGTTTTTGTTGGGTTACATATTTCAAAAAAGTTGTTGAGATAGTGTGAGTAAATCTTTAGCGAAAGTAGTTTACATAACTATATAATATCCAAATTATGGTTATAATGTTCAAAGCCAAACGTGGAGATATTCAAACACTTGATTTCTACTTGAAGTTTATGCTGATGATGTCGTTCAGAAGAACTATGAAAGCTCCACAACCAAACCATTCAGTTCTAAATACTTTATATATCTTTATGGTTTTTATTCCTAAAGAATAGTGAAAGCTTCGAAACTTACTAGCTTACATTGACTGATTTCTGAGTAGCAGTCTGTATTGTGTTTACTTAGTTTTTAGTGCTGATGAAAGTATATTGTGGGCAATAGTCTAAGTGACTCTATTTTGTGTATATTATGTTTTTAACCTGTCAGTTGGAAAATTCAGTGATACAAGTTTTAATTACACTGGATAAATTAATTCCCTTAAGGTTATGAGCATGAAACTTAAATAAAGAGCTTCTTACAGAATTTCCCTAACCATTCAGTGATTTGTATCTTAATAAAGAATATCGTTAGCAGTACGGATCAATTATTACTGAAATTTAGTCTTATCGGGAACGTCAGGACGCATATATATATATATATATATATATATATATATATATATATATATATATATATATATATATATATATATATATATATATATATATATATATATATATATATATATATATATATATGAATTTGAATTCGGAGTTGTATTTCGATCCTTTTTCCGTTACTGCTGACAAAGCAAACAATATCAAATAGATCTTAGTTCTTGGTACCAATTTAACTATGACTTCATGACTTGGGTACTTGTGTAGTTTTCTACCACTTAAAATAAACAACGCTGAACACGATAATCAGTAACTTACCGATAAATCAAGTGTTTGGAATCAATCGCGTTTTGTGCGAGAAGTAACAACTCAATATTTAATCTTGTGTAGAATTCTGAGTACACCATTCTATCTAGTAATAGCATATTTCCAGTAGGTAATAAACTCAAGTCAAACCACAGTGAAAAGTATCTATAATTATAACATACTTTGTGAAATGTTAACTTTCATAATTATGAATGATCATTCATGGCTTTCTTGAACAGTAAATCTTTTAACTATTAAGCAATATAATGATACCCTTTATAAATTTTAATGAAACCATAACGATATGTGATGAAATAATTAAGGTTAGATTTGAACTTATCATTTACAGAGCGGAAGTCGAACTGTTTAACCATTGAGCCTTAATTTTTACTTTGGTCCTATCCAAATTTATAAAAGGAGCTAATTGTATGAAATAGTTTAAACAATCACTTCCCTGAGCATAATTTCAAATCACTACCCGTTGCAGACTATCAAAAGATTGCCCCAATCATTTTGGTTTCATTGAAGTAGGAGACTGTTTAATAAAAACGCTACATGTGATAAATAGATCTTTTAAAGTTCAATTTATTTTGCTAAAAATTTAAAAGAGTAAGCATTTTATTTAAAACCGAAGTGTTGAAGTTGTTTTGAGAGTAAGAGTTGTTTGTTCAACAATAACAAATCTGTTAGTAAAATATTTCAACTGTGTAAACAAAGATGTATAGTGGCTAGCAGTGGAATTCAGGACTTATGCTTCATCCTATTTGAGACTTGTCAACTGGATGTACCTGTATCCGAGAGTTGATGCCCACTCTGAGACTCAAACTCAGTATCGTTCGCTTGTGACTTAAGATAATACCGAGGCAATATGCACAGTATACACATATGCCGATAAGAGGCTGATCAATTACAGTCCTAACACTAATAGGAAGATTCAAATAAATAATACAAAATGAATTTATTTCTAATGTAGTTTGCAATATAATGAATTGGTTGAAATGTATTTAGTTGTTTCATTAGTCCATTGAACAGAAAGATTTTATTGTAAATGGATATGATTAAGGGTTTATGTATCTGAATAGCATATTTTTTCATCCATTTTCAGTAGTAAAGATAATAAGTCTAGACAATTAATAATGATTCTCACAACTTATATTACTGTGAATATAACAAATTCATTTATTGTAATACATATTATGAATAAGATCTTCAATAGTTCATGATTAAATGCAAAGAAATGAGTCTTCAGACATAAACACTTGGATCATGGTGTTTTGAAATTTCTGGGAATGTTCTGGTTCAAGATGCTTAAACGGAAATTATTCAATATCAAAAATTAGCTAATTTGATTTATTCTAATTTAAATCACTGAATATAACATTCTTTTTGATTTCTTTCATTAATTCAGTGCCCAATTACTGTAATAGTATTCGTTCATATTTAGACAAAAGTTCATAGATAGCATACAATATACAGATATAACTGATATAGATACAGAACTGTATAAAGGAGTTGATATGTTTCAGGCTTTTTAAAAAATAGAGATCAAAAAGCCTTTCAAAGGATTTTAGTATAATTGTTTCATACTTGAGACAAGAGGTTGAAGTTTACATCATATATTCTAAGTGTAACCAAATATACTATTCTGCATGATATTTTATACATATCTTCATGTATATTCTGAAAGGTCCTATTAAAGTGTTTAGAAGCCTTAGAAGTACTTGGTAGCCACTGTCTAATGGTTATTTATTTATTTATTCGAACACATAAATATTGGTACAAAGGGGAACTGAATACATATGCGCCACACAAGTTCCTTGATTTGTGAGTGCCCAGACCGAAGTAAATAGTTTTCTTAATAAGGGCATATCCGGAGGCTTTGACCTAAATTTCTGATCCACAAGACACTAGAGCAATGTCAGGAGATGTAGTCCCGTGGTATCCAATAGCCAATAATAGGTTCATACGCCCATCCTTCCCTCAGGATTCTGGAGCCCTTGTACATCATTAATTTAGAATAAGAGTTTTCCAACTCTCCTAGGTGAAGCCCCAGTGTTCACCAAGTTTAATAATTAATTTTGCTTTCAAGATTATTTTACACTATAATTCTTGAATCTATATATAATCATTTAATTTTGAATAAATACTCATTAATTTTTTGAGGTTTACCAGTTTATTCCAAA